CTTTCATCAGACTCCACAAATTAAAGAACTTAGTTCATACTGTCAGCTCCATATTAGATACCAGCTACAAATAGGGTTTCCAGGCTACCCACACTTCTATTCAGCTGATTTACAAATTCCAGTATTCTCATGACCTCCACTGTTCTGGCATGGGAATGCCAGTTACCGCCTTGAAAACACCAAAATGAAGTGCCAAGTCCAGGTTCCCACTCAATCCCCACTGACACCCAAGACAGGGTACTTTTCACTACTAGAGAGGGATGGAAGTTTAGCAGAGTTTCCAAGGTCTCCACTCCACTAAGATGGAGGGACTTCATTACTACTACTAATGGTGCGCAAGTCCACACTTTTCCCCAGCCTTCCTCCAATTCCTCCTCATGGGATACATGTCCAGGTGACCCCTGTGGCCCGCATGACAGCACAGGAGTAAAGAAGCTCATTGGTAGGATGAAAACGTCCTGGCTTCTCTCTAGTGGAGGTGTCAGTATGCATTGTTGGTATTATCTCATGAGGCTGGAAGCCTAGGCTGTCCACCTGGTGTGGGTAAGGGTGAACTCAGTTATTTCCTGTGGTGTTTGGCTGGGATTCAGTTATCAATCAAAGCTGCCCCTTGCTTACTCATATGGACAGCAAACCAGCTTTGGTTGTTGAAATGATGATTTTGCTTGTGTGTGTGCATGATTTTGGGTTGCTAGCTGTAAGCTGCAACTCTGGGATGTAAGATGCAAAGAGAAGATCTAGGGACCTCAGCTGTTCACTCGGGTATGTTTTCTCAGACTGTGACTCCCAGCTGGTCTGTCTTCTAATCTGCACCTTCCAGCATGTCTATATTTTTGTTTTACATATATTCAAGGTTTTTTGTTGTGCTTAGTAGGAATAAGGAAAAAAATAGCCACTCCATCTTCCTGGAACTGGAAATTTCCCATTTGTTTGAAGGCTGACGTCTCTAACTTTAAAACCAGTCCTTGAATGGACTATCTCTCGTGAATGTTATACCCGAGGGATGAAAACGTGGAATTAATTCATCTTTGTTCAGTGGAGCTAACTCGGATCCTGAGCACGCTCACCTGCCAGGCAGGAACAGCAGTGCTCAGTGCTCTTCTAACCCTCTCTATCCGCTGGTATTTACTCTTCATCAGTCAGGGATTTGGAGTTTAAGTTTTTATTTCACTGCTTTATCTACAGGTTTAAGGTAAGTAGTAATTTGACACGATTGTTAAATATTTTAGTCTTAGAAAATACTTAAGAAAATTAAAATACTATTTTTCTCATATAGGTATTGATGAGCAATTTAAGCCCATTTACTTAAGTGAATTTGAAGAATTTGTAGAAAAAGATGTGGAGAGTTTAAAGGTAGGTAATACAGCAGACTCAAAATATTAACATATCAATACATATCTTCTTAATTATGAAAAGCAAAGCAGTGTGACTTGTTAACTGAGATTTGAACTAAACTAGATTGGTAAACAAAATTTTCCATTATATGTAAATATCATGTGAACAAATTGGACCCAGTTCTCTATTAAAACTCATGAATGAGAGAAAATGTACAGAGCTATATGAAAACCAAAACAGCACTGGGGAAGAATGGAAAGTATCACAGGTACATCAATTATTTCGAACAGTTCTTTAAAATAAACACCAGAGATGTACAACAGGGTGGAAAAATGCTAACCCAAAACCCCATTCTGAGAAGAAGTCCTGGAAGAACAGGCAGACAGCGAGGGGAGTCACATGGAACCAACTTTGCGCTGTCTAAAATGAAGTTGTCCTCCCAACCTTCCCTATGTTGAGGGACTGGAGGCAGCAGCCCAAGGCAGAAGGGGTGAGCGGCAGGCCAGAGCCGGGCTGGCTAGCCAAATGGAGGAGCAGAGCCTGCCTACGTGCAGGTACACGGGGCAGGAGCAGCATACACCCCAAACTGTGAAAAGCAGGCTTAAATAAACCACGCAAGCCAACCAAGACTTCAAAATAAGTAAATAAATAATAACAATAAAAAAGTCAAGAGTCACCAGATTTTGAGGGGGTACCCACATTAATAAAAGAGACAGAGCTAGTGAACACGGTGTGCCTTGCCATATGCAGTACTCTGGAAGGCTCAGGCAGCAACTTCACAAGTTCAAACTCAGCCATGCCAACTTCCTGGCTTAGTGAGACCCTACCTCAAAAAAATAAAAAGGGCTGGGGATTTAAAAAAAATAAAGGCGTTCAAGTAAAGCAAGAAGGAGTTAGTGCGGTATCAGGCAAGATACTCCCTAAGGCAAAACAGTATTACCTCACACAATCAGGATGATTTCCTAATGATAGAAGGTAACAAAACCTGACAGAACTCAAAGAGAAATGGAGCAATCCTCAATCACAGGTGGGGCTGTCACTGTAAGTATCTCTACCTGATAGCGCAAGCACATCCTCCAAAATTAGTAAGCATATGGATTTGAAGAACATGTTTAACATGCTTGAGCTAATGAAAACATGTAAAATACTGTACAGAACTATACAGTATATCTTTGAATGATTATTTAAAATGTAATAGAATATTTTCAAAAACTAAGCTAATATAAAGAATAATGACTTTTAATTACACTAGAAATTACATTTTAGGAACATAATTAGAAAATTTCATTAGGTTAGTAGTAAAGAAATATACATTTAAATCCCTTTTGGTCAAAAAAGCAATAGTGGGAGGCTGGGGAGTTAGCTCAGTAGCATAAACACCTGCCTGGCAAGTGCAGGGTCCTGAATGCAATCCCCAGTACCACAAAGAAAAAAAAAAAAAAAGAAAGCAAGAGTGGAACTTAAAAAATATTAACAGTTAACAGGAACATTATATATTTAAAGTTATAAAATGTACTTTGTAGTATACTTTCAAAGGTAAGTATTAAAGAAGCAAGGCTAAAATTAGCGAAGTATTTATGTGAAGATATCAAAATAAAGCCTAGAAAAAATAATAACAAAAAGAGCATAAAAGAATGATAGAGCATGGATACTTCTGATTTGATTTGAAACTGTCTCATTGCTATCTGTTTATCAATAAAACTGTAGAAAAAAAAATAAAAAAAAAAAAAAGAATGATAGAGCATGGAATAAGCGCTTCCCCGGCAAGCGCAAGGGTCTGAGTTCAATCCCTGGTTCCACAAAAAAAAAAAAAAAAGAATGACAGAGCAAACAACTGATAATCAAAATAGCCAAATACTGGTTCTAAAAAGCTAATAAAATTGACTAATTTAACTTGATCAAGAAAAACAGACACTTGAAATAATGAAAAGGCATCATTAGCAGTCCTGCACATGCCACATTTATTAAGAAGATACTGTGGATGGTTTATTAATTGAATTTAAAATCTAGATAAACACATTTCTAAGGCAAAAAGTTTAACAGCAAAACTCAACAGAGGTTTAAAAAAACTGTAAATATTCTTACAACCATGGAAAGAGATCAAATCAGTGGTCAAAGATCTTTTCATAGAAAGAATCTCACAATCACATAGTTTTATCAGGAAACTAGGACTATTCAAGGAAGAAGTTATCTTAATTGGATACAGATCTGTCCATATAGTAGAGAGAATCCTTCCAAACTCATTTTCTAATCTTAGCATACCCTTGATTCCCAATGAAAAAGTACAAAAAGTAAAGACCAATGTCATTCAACAGAACTGATGGAAAAAGCCTACATAAACTATAAACAAGCTGTATCTTATCAATCTACTAACAAAGAAAACAAGATAGATTAATGCTGAGAATACAAATTTCTCTTAATTTGTGGGAAAACATAGCCATACCTTCTTTCAATATCTTACTAAAGGAGGAAAATGTAGCTTTTCAATAGATACACAGAATCAATTAAAAGATGTATTTATTTTGTAGTTAAAAGTACTAGCAACCAGGGCAGGTGATCTAGCTCAGTGGACTAAGTGCTTGCTCAGATAAGCGCAGGGGCCAGGGTTTGCTCCCTGGCACCACGTGCCACGCCAGCCCCGCCCCCAGGCAAGCTGAGCCAGTGATGGAGTCCCAACACGAGGGAGGCAGAAATCAGGGGGATCACCATGAGTCCGAGCTGCGTAGTGAGACCGTGCACACATGCACACACACAAAAAATAGCAACTTCAAAAAAGGAACAACTCCCTGTCTGATGCTAAGGTGTCTAGATTAAACAACCAAAACAAAGTAGTTTAATTATTAACAAAACATTCACAGTTTTTGTTTGAGATAGTATACAAGACAAGTGTGCTTACCAGCACCATTTCTTGCCAGCAAGGTCCTAGAGGTCTTAATTATGTCAGTAGAAAGAAAAAGAGATAAGATCAGGAAGTAAGAAACGAATTCATTATTTATATGTGATAGGATATGTAGATAGAAATTCAAGGCTTTTTGAATCAGTATGGTTTAGTTATAAGACGAATATACAAAAAATAAAAAATAGAAAATGAACTTTTAAAAAATTCCATTTACAGTAGCATAAAAGTAATAAAAAGTCTTATAAACTATGTAAAAACTCAAAGTATAAACCTTTGCTGAGAAACATAAGACAAATAACTAAAAAAGTATCACATTTACTTTGGGATTTGGAATTTTCGGTACTGGAAAGAGGTCATTTCTTTGCAAAATGACCTATCAAATTGGGTTTAATTAAGAACTAATACAGTCTCGGGCTGGCCAGATAGCTCAGCGGACTAAAGCGTCTTCTTCAGCGGAGCACAGTGGCCGGGGTTTGAACCCCTGCATGCCATGCCAGCCCCATCCCCAGGTACACTAAGACAATAACTGAGACTGGGCGTGGTGTCACACGCCCATAATCCCAGTGTTTGGGAGGCAGTAAACCGGAGAATCACTACGAGTCTGATCTACATAGTGAGACCCTGTAGACCCTGTACTAAATTAAAAAATAAGTAAATAAAGAATACAGTCTCAACCAAAATCCCAAATTTGGATATAGACAGTGGTACAGGTGTAGAACTTGATAGGTTCAGAATGGAAATGTAAAAAAGAAAACAAGAATAACCAAGACATTCTTTTAGAAGAACAAGACTGGCAGTGGTAGAGATATACAGGAAGCTTCAGTCTCCTAAAGCCTTGGACAAGTGAATAGTAAAGAATAAAATAAAAGAGACATGTAATATGGTTGGTGGGATCAAGAAGGTCAGAACTCTCATGGAACTAAAACGAAGCCTTCTTTGGATTGCTAGTATTTGCTGGGTATCACATTATGGGCATGTAGAGAGGCGCATGGAATAGCTGAAGTAAAAGGCCCAAAACTGAGCAGGGCCTTAAGAACTCAGGACAAAGACATGCCAACCAGTCAATCTTGCTAATTGAGAAAACTGTCCTTTCTCTAAAGTTGGCACTGTACTACCTGTGAATTCTGAGTGGGTTAATAATAGCAGTTATCTTGCCTTCAAAGACTCTTTCCTAATACAGCCAGAGAGTGCCCTTGCTCAACAGCTGGACTCCTACACAGCCTGGTTCCCAACAGAGAAGGCTTTCCCTTACCAGATTCTCAGGAAGAATTATTTTGAAGCTATATGACAAAAACAGATAGTACTGGTATAGGGTAGATGGAGGCCATTGATGTAGAGTTCAGAAACCCTGAAGAGATTCAATATACGTAGAAACTTGATTCTGACAGAGATGGCTGAACAGTGAATAAGTGATGGTTTTTTCAACAGATGGCCTTGATGCTATTGCTATCCACAAGGGACAAAAATGAAATTAGGATTTCCTACCTTATGCCAAAAAAATCAGCTCCCAGTTGATTTGTGAAATGAAATGTAAACGTGAAAGACATGATCATGAGAAGCCCTTGAAAAATACCTTAGGATAGATCTTAGGAGTATTTCTTCATGTCCTTAAGGTAGGGAATTTTCTACAGGATATAAAAATATGAAGTACAATGAACAGGATTGATAACTTTTATTAAAGAACTTTTATTTGTCAAAAAATAAAGGCTTAAGCTAGTCACAGAGTGGAAGAGGAGGGCAATAACACATGTAAGTAATTAGGCACTTGATTGCATAGCATCTAAAAAATTGTTATATATTCCAAAGGTAAAAGGACAAGTAACCACATTAAAACATGAGTGAATTGTCTGGGCATTTTACCAGAGGAACATTCAAACAGCCAGTAAATATACCAAATAATTAAAACCTTGCCAATAATAAGAGAAATGCAAATCAAACCCACAGACATGATGGTATCTGTAGATCAGCAGACATGATGAACTTCTCTAAGGGACAGACAAGAAATTTAATATCTGAACAGTATTTACAGGTGGAAAGAAGGATGTGAGACAGTGCACTATAACTGTCTCCTGTCCCCAGGGTCATTTATGTGCAACCCAGGGTACATTATGTGCAGTCT